CCCCCCCCCACAGGTTAGAGGGGCAGTGCAGCAGCCTTTAAGCAAAGTTACTTCCCAAGTAATGAAGGTCTGTAGAAGGCATGGCTTTGTGCAATCTCAATACGCTCACGGGGATCATTCATCGTCTCATCTCTCAATGCCTCAAGAATAGCCTTTGTCGGCTTCTCCCTGTATTTCGTGAACAAAACAAGAATTGTGTTTGTGTTTGTTTCATGGAAAAAAACTAACAACAGCCCGGTAAAGTCCCAGACTTTACCCCTACCGATAAATAAGACCCTCGGCGTCATAGAAAAGCTTAAAACACAGTAAATCTAACAGAATGAAAGTAACAGAGCAGTACCTCACTATAAGGATTTTATATAACGTCTTTAAGATAGGACAAAGTTCAGCTGCGGCAACATGTCTGTTTTCACCGGAATCATGAATGTTCAGACTTGACTGGCTGAGCAACTCATAGAAGCCTTTTACTGCCGAAACTCCCTGCAAGAAAATGAGTTGTACCCGGAAATGGTTTCACACTTTTCATACGTAGACAGTATTTGGTACACATGTTGCAAATCATTTTCTTGTTTTCCTGTGTTTGGTTGGCAGGGGGGTGGAAATTTTTTTAGGGGGAAAGTCTTTTCACGTGCCGAGACTTGAGAAATAAGTTTTCCAACTCACTAGAAAGATGTGTTGTGCAGTGCAATTTCATAGGCATGTAGTTTCATTCTTTGGACAAGTATCGACACTTGAGAACATGGCTTGCTCGTGAAATTATTTTCTGGAAGTTTAACAAACACTTGAAAATGTTATGCAAAATATATTATCTAACCCTATGTTTGGTTCGCGTATTTCGATAGGAAAGGAAAAGAAACGACTTTTCTCTCTTTTCCTCACCAAAATGGAAGGAAAACTGTTTTCCTTCTCTTTAGTTCATTTCTTCTTCCATTTTCTTTTCCCTCCATTTTTATTCTCTTTTCCTCCCAAACCAAACAAGAACAATTGTTTTTCTCCTCATTGTGTTTTCTTTTCCGTTTCAAATTCCTTGAAGCAAATACAATGTGAAGGAAACCGTCTTGGGAGCCAACATGAAAAAATGCATCCCCCCCCCCACACCCACATACAAATTTGTAATAGCAGATTGTAGAGGATAAAATATTTTACGAGTACTCGTGCAGCACATACCTGTATCATACCCTTCCCCTTAATGCTATCACCCATTTCAAGACTTAATTCCCCACTGGCCAACTTTTGGCCATACCATGCATTACGACCTTTCAGAAGGGTCACATACGTATCGGCCAAGAGAGGACCTGCAAGTTTCTCTGGTTCTTCCGTCAAAAGATGAGTAATAAATATCATCTCAGATGTACAGTGTGCAAAGTATACTGACTTGCTCGTGGCACTCTCCTTTGTAAGAGCTGCTACCATACCTGCTCAATCCAAATCAAACATTAAGTTCATGCTACCAGTCTTCATTATCAGTCCCATACTCCCATCATCCAAAATTTTATGGGACGCCTCAGTCAAGGCTTTTTTATTTTTTCCCTCCATAACATTCACTTCCTCCATCCAAAACCAGTCATTTTTAAATGTTTTTTGTCCCCAAAACGAAGTTATATAAAAAGTTAATGATTCTAGCATTTAGTTAAACAATGAACATTGAAAATATATGTAAGGTTCAATGAATTTAAAAGTCGTGCATTGCCAAAATTTAAATGTTGCATCTTACTAAACAGGGATTTTTTTTCTGGGATGGAGGGAGGTATTTTAGTATTAATGCTATACATTTTTAAACTTTATTAAAAGTTGTATTGAATAAAATGTAAATTTAAAGATAATGATGAACTGTTCCTTGAATCAAACGTCCCTTTAATGTCAACCAGAATAAGAAAAAGGGGGAAGGTTGAAAGAGAAGCTCATTGTGTAGATTCTCAAAACATCTCCCCTTGCATTTTAATAAAAAAGGATGGTGTAAGCCAAGAAGGCTAGAAGACACACCTTGTTTACCAGTTATGCCTAAAGATGCATTCATATTGTTTGTCAAAAGGATAGGTTCTACATAAAGATCTACTGCATGAAACCAGAGACGAATGTGTACACAATGCAACGGGTCAAAACAAATAAGGAAAATTAGGCCAAAGCTGAGAAGGAATGTTTACACTTGTGCAGTGGCTGTGTATTTGCATGCAATTTGGAAAGCTAGAGATCCTAAGGTATTTCAAGACAAACCAGTAAATGGTGTTCAAACATTCCAGAATATTAAGGAGACGGTTATAAGGAGGCAACATCTAGCCTTACTCCAACATCTACCTTGAGTTGTATGTGGTAGTTCCAATTGGGACTCTAAAATACTGTCCCCTCATGTTTTTGAGGTGGAGTTGATTTAATGAGAAAGATCCCTTCGCTTTGGTTCCAAAAAATACTACAGGACGGCAGGTCGAAACAAAGCTTACCCTAATCAAATATTTCTAACTCAGAGAAATTGCATGACCACAAGTCCACAATACATAAATACACGGCTAACTGAGGGAGTAAGAACCATGATACTAAAAGTTACTCTGTATATAAACAAGGGAAGACTGAAGAGTATAAAGGTTTTACCAGCACCAATGGCATAGACATTCTTTAAACCACCCATAACCTCATGGGTCACAAGGTCACAATTGTCCCAAACAATAAAGTGTGGTTGTCTCAAAAATTTTGCCAGCACTTTCCTCCATTTCTGAGCACCACATATACGAGCATTAGCATATTCTTTGTTGTAAATTTCAGAAGCAATATTAGGCCCCCCAAGATATAGGATGTTCTCAATGGGTACTCCAGCTGGAAGAAAAATCAAGTATAAGTGGGAAATTAATCAAGTTAACAAAAGAATATAGAGATGAGAATCTCTGAGACATCAAAACTGATTAAAGTGAACTTCTAATACTCTTCATATCCAAAAATATTAAGGTCTCGTCTGGTAAAGGTCATTTGGCTGAAATGACTGCATTTTTTTCTGAAAGAAAAAAAGTCTAAAAACATCTTTATCCTTTTAGCCAACTAAGTCAGTCAAAAGGTAGGTATACTGATCATGCCGAATACAAATGCGGCAAATAAGGCAGCCAAACAGGGCCAAAATACATTTGAAACTAAGTCAGCAGCACGTATAAATGAAACTGCAATAAATTGCAACTATATATCAATATCATACTGGTAAATCAGAACCAGACATTCATGGAAAATGAACAGTTTGAGAGGGGGAAACCCCCTTAGTCCCTTACTTGATCGGTTGATCATCTGAGTGGGGGTAACTAGTCGCAGTTCAGGCTCCGACTCGGCTTCAATCCCTTTTGCCAAAGATATAATGACAGGAACGGTAATCCTTTCCTTCCAATACCGACTAATTTCTTCAAAAACTTGGCCAGTTTCGGTTGATGGCAACCCATTGATGACAATATCAGCATCCCAAACAGCCTCCTGCAAATTGGTGACAACCTTCAAAGGGCAAAGGGGTGTGTCGATCATATTCAAGCAAAACCCATCCTTCAAAATCTCATCTGCATACAATGTCCTATCGCCTAACCTAGCCTCTACATACTTCAAGTACGCACACCGCCTTATCAGCCTCCTTAACACATCTTCCCTTGAATTGATCACCTCAAATAGGTGCTCGGCAGTGGCTCTATCAACCCCTCTACCTGCCCTCCGCCATATCCTAATCTGAACCTTATCCCTAACCCCGCCGTATGCATCTTGCAACATTGCTATGAAAACACTGCCCCACGCCCCCGCCCCAACACCCACAATCCTCAATGGATCTCCATCTGCTTTCCCAAATAAACGCCGAAGCTCGTCCACTTTCTCCTCAATGGAACCATTTCCAGCTCGAACGGACCCATTGAGGTGCAAATGACCGCTTTCTCCTTCAGCACTTTCAACCATCTCTGCAAGTGCAAAAAATCACAGCATCAAAGCAGCTGAAATTAAAGGTTGCACTGGGACGGGTGCGGGTACATATACGGGGACGGATTCGGGAATCGGCATTTTTAAAAATTTAAGGATGCGGGGACGGAAAAGATTCGGCAACAAAAGATAATTAAAATATTAAATATAGGCATGTAAATGTTAAAAATAATGTTACAATAGATGTAATAAAAAATTAAAGCCAATCGACACTAATAATTATAATAAACTAATAATATGGAGTATCAAAGCATTTTCCAGTAAAAAACAAGAATGAGCAAATTGTAGAGAGAACATGAAATTCTGTTAATGAAGTAAATTGCAAAGCCAATTAGCCAACTAAAATAACTTGCAAAAAAAATTTAATTGAATTAAAATGGGTCAAAGAAAGAATTTTGGTGGAAGAAGGAACTCAAGGAAGAAGTGAAGAACTATACCTGGTCCGCTGGTCGTGTACTCGTGCAGGGGGGTAGGCCTGGACGGCGACCTCGCCGGAAGCTCTGGAACAGTGGACGGCGACCTCGCGGAAACCTCTGGAACTCGTGTAGGGGTGTAGGGCTAAATTCTATCCCTTTCCCACCCTGTTTCTCCTCAAATCAAGAAATCTGAATGGAATGAAGCCCAATTTGAGATCTAGAAAAAATCACAGGTCTCCGTGATGATCGCCGAAATTCAAAAAAAATAAAACCTAGGAGTCTGAAATTCGAGACATTGGTTTCAGCTAAACTGTAGAATGTCAACAACAACAACAAAAAACTTGGAGATCTCCGCAAAACTCCGGTGAACTACTCAACCAACAAGTCGGCACAAAAAACAAGAACATTTAATACCCGCCGATAGAATTCGCATGGTAAACAGCCTGGCGGAGTCTGTATTTATGAAGAAATGGCGTCCGCGCAACTGAATGCTGCCTTCTGGTGTAAACGCGACGACGGGCAGTGGTGAGGTTCCCCCCATAACGGATGGTAAATTACCCCACAAATTATACCATGGTTATGCAGCTTTTTTGAATGAGCAATGCCAGGGTCTCCCACCCCTCTCTCCATAATTCAAATTTATTTTATTTTTATTTATTTAATTTTTTTAGTTTCTTAATTTTTTCTTGTGGTGATGGAGGGGGTGGGGGACAAATGAGGTACATCGGTGTACTCCTAGCATTTTTCTTATTTATAATAGTATTAGCTCTATTATAATGTAGTATGAGTACTAGGCATCATTATTTGTGAGTTTATTTTATTTTTAAGACGGGATTGTACATGTGAAATTGGTTACCACGTTGTGTTCTGTTCGCAGGATCTAATCTAATTTTTTTGAAAATCTGATCTGGTCTGATCTTATTGCAGTTATAATTAAAATTATTTCTGATCTGGTCTGATTTGATTTAGTATGATCTGGTCTGGTCTGATTATAATAAGAATAAAAGATAAATAGAAAAAATAAGTTGAACGGAATGTTATTTAATGTTATAAGATAACTCTCGGCTCTTAGACCATGTGTTATGGGGTGTTACTGCCGTCGTGGATTGGCCGGTAATGCCCCCACGCCGTTACCATGGCGACACCCAGGGCGTGGCGGAGGCGTGTCGAAGAGGCCTTGAAGGTTACCATGGGCATTGCCCGTCTCGTTTCCTGCGCCTATCGTTGCCAACGGACAATTTTTGGTCCGTTGGCTATATTTGAAAAAAATATTTCTCTATAAATTAATAAAAAATCTCATCATCTCCACACATCATTTTCATCTCTTGTGCATTCATCTTCAATTCAATGTTTTTTGTCATGGATTCCAATTACCCAAATTTTCCGTATCCTAATATATTTTTTCAATTATTATCGACCCCAAATCAAGCCAAATATTCCAAATTCTCTGAATTCACTAATAAACCCTACATATAATCATCCGAATTGGTTCCCAGCGGGCCAATTTCCTACCCCACCGTTCCAACCCACCTAACCCACGTGACGCGGACCCAAATACGAGAACGAATACGTTCCCGAAACCTAATTTGAAGCATCTGCTCAATCCCACCCCGCCATTGATTCCGAGCCAACACCCTCGAAGAGAAAACACAAGAAGAAAGAGGTGCCGGCAAAAATTACAAAGCCCGCCATGACCAAATAGATGGAAGAGGAGGAGGTTGCACTTGCCAGATCCTACATCGACACCTCCGAAGATCCTCATATCGGTATGAGTTTAACTTTTTTAGGTTTTTAATTTTTTTTCGTTTTTGTTTATTTCTAGTTTTTTATCTTGTTTTCCTAACAACTTAAGTTAATTCTTTTTTAGGGCGTAATCAAACATCGTCGGAGTTTTGGGCTCGCGTTTGAAATCAATTTTTTGAGACGATGGGTCGCGGCCACTACCGCACCAACGACATGATCTCAAGTAAATGGCAACTTGGCGAGACATGAAAGCAAAGATTTCCAATTTATGCGGTATTTGGAGCGAGGTGAATAGGTCGCGAAAGAGTAGCCAAAACAACTCACAAGTTTTGGCCTAGGCGTTGACCCAATACGCTCGTGAGCTTGGTATGTTCACGAGTATCAAGGCATGGGAAGTCATGCGTGAATCCACGAAATGACATACCATCCCGAGACTTTAAATGTCAAAATGGTCAAAGATAGATTCGTCAACCAACGTGGGTTCGGGCCATTTCTCATCTAGAGTCAAAATATCTTTGAACGACTCTGATGAAGATGACGAGGACAACTCCATTCTCCCTGTACCTTGTCGCCCTCCAGGTCGTAACAACCGAGAAAAATGTCCAATGTCCTTGGGGAGTAATAGCCAGTTGGAAGAGAAGTTGGACGACATATCAACGTATGAAGACATTTGTGTTGAATATTACAGCGGGAAACAATAAAAATAAATTAATCCGAACTTATAAAACGTTCGGATTTTACAACGAAAAATAAGAGAAAGAAAAATGGAGTCTTCAGAATCTCGAACGGGAACAGACGGCGTGAACACGAACGGGCAGGATCGGGTAGAGGGGAAGAACACAAACAGGCAAGTGCGTCGGACGGTAGGCAGCGGGTCGGCGGAGTAGTTTCTGGAAATATAGGTTAGGAAAGCGGATTTACCGGAGCTTTCCTTAAGGTAGTATTGCCCGCCTCCCGCACTGGCAAACGTGAGCAATCTCCTCCCAGGATAAAACCGCAGCGAGCTAAGTCTAAAGCGGTAGAACAGAGCACCGGCGAACGAGATCGACGGGAAGTTATGCCGGAGAAGGTGATCGGAAATGGGAACTTAGTCGGAAGTAACGCAGAGAAGGGTTTTCCGAGTGTGTTCTCCTCCTGCAGCCAAGCCCTCCTTTTATAGGAGGGAAGTTGGCTCTTCGTTTGGACCTATCAGCCGCCATGCCGCAGATGCGGGCGCGCCTCGCCACGCCCCGACCCGACGCGGGCGCGCGTGTCGTGTCGAGACGGACAGATGGCGGCGGCGGCGCGCGAGGATTCCTCTTCTTGTTCCTTTCATAAGCTCAATTAAAAGCCTAAGCTTAAATATGAGAATATGAAAGGTTCAAAAACCGGTGTGGGACAAGGGTATTTACTCTACCCTCGTATTCAACTTTGAAAATTAATTTCTCATTCACTCGAACACCTTTTATGGCGTGTCATATGTCCAAACGTTCGTCTTACTTACGAGATTGAACGTCCATAATTATTTCGGAAAATAATTTTGTGGACCCTACCGAATTTATGTCCAAAAAATGTCCAATTTACTTAAAATTTCCAACAGTTTGTTTCTCTCCAACAAGAAAAACAATACAACAACTACATGTGCATGATGGGGACTCCAACGGATCATGAAAGACTAGTTATATTTTTTCTCTCTGTGTTTCAATGTATTGTTTTATTCTTGTACGTATTATTTTCCCTTTGTTGTTTTTTTCGTTGTTATCTTTTTTTATCATATTTTTTCCCGTTTGTAGTATGTTTAAATTATTATTTTAATTTATATGTTTACAAAAATATTATCTATAAAACAAAGAAAAAAATTTGGTCAAACCTCTGCCATTACGTATCTACAAGTGATGGGGTTGATGGGAGGGTCAAGCCACATGGCGCCTATGTGGCGGTGGTCAAGCCCCATGATAATACATGGTCTTACGATGTTATTTAAAATAATTAATGTTTTCTATCCTCTAATCCCCCCCCCCCCCCCGCCCTACCCTCCATTTGCGTATTGGTTACAGTGAATCTTTCCTAGTTGTAGTCAATCAACGAAGGGAGATGATTGGATTCATCAATTTATCAAACAGACACTGATGGAGTCCTGAGTCATCCTATGACATTGGTGACCAATATCAAGCAGACCGTGGTTCTTTTAACTTTTAGAAAAACACTTATCTGAATTGTTAGTAAGCACATCCCCAATGCAGGAAGTCTTTATATTCTTTCAGACTTTGTCACGTCAGCACTTCAGTATTTCGAACTCCTCTTCAAACTTTCAAAAAAAAATACTTCAATCTTCAAACTCTTTTAGACTTTGCCACATCAACATTTCACTATCTTTTACTCTATTAATTTTTATTTCTATTTAATCAGTTATCTAAGATATAGTTGTACTATACATTGATTTTTCTACCAAATTTGTTAATAAATATAATTATTCATTCGAAAAATCAACAACATAAAATTTGAGAAAATTATATCAATTAACACACATAAAATATATAAAGTAAAATGAGTATATTTCATTAAAACCTTTTAAGTAAAGACACAAAAATTAAATTGCATAAAATAAAATTAAAATCACGATAAATTAAAATCACATAAATAGACATAATTAAAATGTGCAGTCACTATATTTTGGTTGATCCTTAAGAGAATGCCAAATAAAAAAATAAATATAAAATGGCTAAGAGGATGCCAAACATAAAAGAAGTTTAAATATAAAACTCATAAAATAAAAATTACATAAAATAAAAGTAAAAGAATAACAAAATAAAGTTATATAAGTAGACACAATAGATGATTGTTTTTTTTAATGGGAAGGATTGGTTTTTTTGACAAAATCATTGTACCTAATTTTTTTTAAAAAATAACTGTTATTCATTACTCGTGTCTAATTTTTATTTAGAGAATTGAGTTGGGAGTCTTGACCGTGAATCTAAAATTCAAAGACTCTCTTCCAAACTTTCTCAATTTTCCGTGCACTCCCAACGGAGTATTTCTTACCTTCCAATCTAAACCCCTCTTAAAACCCCTACC